TTCAACTTAAAAAAAAGCGGGGGGGGGAGGGGGGAAGGGGACACTTTTTAAAGTATATTCATACACTGGATATTTGGGGCATTACACTATGAGCAAACCAGAAAACCTCCTCCTTCCCAATAGGATTTGTTATGGAAACAGCATATAATTTCATTCCAATACCACAAATTTGCCACTACATTAAAGAGCATTACTGCTACTGAAGGATGAACAGTCACTCAGCAGCCCCAGTTCTCCAGGCTACAGCCCTCTTCAACGAAATGGATAGAGGAAATTGCTAATTCTAAGTGCCCCTTCATTTTAGACTATAAATATACACTACCAGAAAAAGTAAAGCTGTTGACTAAGGAATGCCTTTAGAAGTACTTTAAGCATAGCAAACTTTGCTATACTGAAGTTTTTGTTCTTGTATTTTCTTTCTCATCAAACACAAGAGAAGAGTTGGGCAAACTGTTTCTTTTTATACACTGATACCTTCTCTGATAAATATGGTACATCAATTATACAGACTGTGCTGTAAAAAAAAAAAAAAAATCTTATCTAAATTCCCTACAGCTATTGAGCAGTAAATAGGTTTTTACAGGAAGGTAAAGTAGTAGTCATAACTGCAGTATACCCATGCAAAAGACACCTTGGTATCATATTAATAAGTCTCAAATGTCATGATGTGTTGACAAATCAAAGTGTAAGAAAAAGTATGCAAGTCCTAGAGATAGCACCACAGCATTCAGTAATGACTCTGACCTTTGCAAATTACTGCACTGTGGAAGTTCACAAAAACTAGCACACAAAAAAACAGCAGCAATAAAGAATGAAAAAAGGAAAGGATTTGCTCTTTTAAATGGAGGCAAGCCATTTCAATGATTTGGAAATGACTGCATTGTGCACTCTAGTATATTTACTAAAATAATCAAGACTGAATATGAGACTTCAATTCTGCAATCTATGAAAAAATCTGTAAGAACTGAAGAGGACCGTATTTGGTGCAAATTATCAACTGCAAATATCAGCAACATTCTACTTCATATAGAAACTACAATTCCATTACAGGATTTTTGGAAAATATTTAAAAAAAGTTAGTCCTCCTCTCCTTACTACAAATACCAAGTCTCTGTTACAAAAAAAATGTGTTCTCCCATGCATAAACAAATATTCAGCTGCAAGAAAACAGATCAGTCAAAATGGCTCAAGTGTAATTTTACACTGGCCAAAGAGAATTCTACTGCAAATGAAATTGAACGGCTTGTAGTTTAGTCACTAGAGCTGAATGATGACCAGTACATTTCTAAACGCTAAAACATTGAAGAAAAAAAAGGTTTAGGAAAAAATGTGGAAAATATTTGAGAAAACAGGAGTTACATTTATGGTTGTTTTTTTTTTTAAATAATGGAAAAATTCTGGCTATGTCTCAGCTCAAGAGAGTAGGGTTTTTTTTAAGCTTCCCTTACTTCTCTATGGCAGTTTATGTATCAAAATTTAAAATAAGTAAATCGGGCAAAAATCACTTACAATTTTCTATGGATTTACAGAATGAAATGCTGTGCTATAGCTTATCACACTGGAAACCAGAAATCACGGTCTCATAACTAGCTAGTCTTTCCTAACAAAACCATGCTTACAGAATGGCGCTTTTAACAATGAATTTTAGAACATGATGGGTTTTGGTGAAAGGTTTAAGAATATATGTAGTTTTCAAAAATCTGAAATACTTCCACGAACATATTTTTTAACTCTGGATTAACCAAATATTCTAAATTCACGAAAACAAAGCTGTTTTACTCATTAAAATATTCTGACAATATTGCAACATAATCTGAGTGTCATTTTGAGCAGTGAGAAAATCTTTTTTTTTATTTTAATAAGAAAGAGAGAAGAAAGGCTAAGTTGGAGGAACCCTTTTCTTTTAACAAAAAAGAAAAAGAACTGGTGAGCTTCTTTCTTCTCCTGCCATATAGCAGATCTCTTCTTGGATTTCACACCACCAACCTACCCTGTCAGAGATCTTGAACAGTTTACATTACTTCTTTTGAAGGATTAATCTAGACCGGCCCAGAGATAAAAACCAAAATGCACAATGAATTCCTACACTGAATTCCAGCTTGTTACTGTGAACTCAACATAAGAAAAGAAAAAAGGAATCCCACACATCTTGTAGTATATACACTGCTTTCACACAGTGTGTATTCAAGACAGTCTGAGGAATACGTAAAACGACAAGATAGTTTTGTACAAAAACTCAATTTATTTCAGAGAAATTAAAAATATGGTATTTAATATATATAAATTTCTATTCCTCTATAAATATAGATGATCTTGTGATAATGAACAGAAATAAATGCATACCAAATTCAAATAATTTTGCATTTCAGGGTATGGTAGCCATAGATAATGTTTATGAACCTAAATACAGGCATTTGTTATATAAAAAAGTTTAAAACATACAATCAGGAGAGAAGCATTCTGCTGTTTTTCATACAGAGGGCTAACTATTCAAATGCATCTGTTGAAAGTTACATTTCATTTTTAACCTTTTGGAATAAAAAGCACAATCCCACACACCCAGGAGCATATATGGTAGTAGATATACTGCACACATGATATCTTTGTAGTATGCAATGTTTATTACTGTAACAAACCAAAAAAAAACACAAAAAAAAAGATAGCAAAGGCTCCTTTAAGGTCTCACATCCCACCACAGCGCTTAAATACACTGGCTTTCTGGGTTTTTTTATTCCTTTGTTTTTACTACTGGCAGAAATCATCACACCCTCCTAACATGTAACAAATTAAATGTCAATGAACTGAAATTCAGGGCAATGGCAATGATTCGAATGTTTCCAAAATGAAGAGCCAGTTTATGGATTTAATTAAAAAAAAAAAAGGTGAATGCTACAATTTATTCTGGTCTTGTTTATACTGAGCCCTCTGTTAATCTAAGTAAATATCAGCACCTCAACAAAGCGTTCCAGGTATTTCTCTGTCAGTGTTTTCATTAACAGAAAAAGAATATAAACACATGCAAGCTGCCCCGTGAAGAAGGAGACAGCTAAAACTGACTACACACTTGGAATTCAGATTTGTAGTTACGCTTAACCTTTTTCCTCCAAAACCTACATACCTTGTGATGGAGAAGGCAAATAATCTCATTTCTGAGGAAAAAGCCAGACCAGACATCTTTGTTTTACAACTGAAAAGTTCATTATGTGCGCTAAAAAAGGAAAGTTTGGTATGTCAATGTCCCCATTTACCTCTTAAGCCATCAGACAGGCCACAGGTGCAGTGTTAAACCTCAACTCCTGGCCAAAGCACAACAACAGAAAAGGCCAATTCTTTCAAAACTAAGTGGTGCATTTAAATAAATTTAAAAAACAAGAAGGGACAGCTGGCAGCCAATCTCCCTAACACAAAGCACTGCAGCGATGCTCTCCGTCCAGAAAAAGGCCGGACACACCTTCGGGCAGGACTGGGTATTTTTTCTCCCCCGCCAAGGGTCTGGTGGCTGAGCAGGGTCCCTCCTGGGCGCGCTCGGCGCTAGCGACGCTTGGGGCGTGGGGGCAGCGGGCCTGGGTCCCTCTAGCCAAGGCAGCCACGGTGAGGGGAGGTGAAGCGCTGTCCCACCAGTGGGTCAGGCGGCTGTCCCC